GGTTTCCTTGTCTATAAGTATCTCCTGTCACATTACATGAAAAATCTGAGGACCCCAAATGGAAAAACATGTATAATCAATAAAGTTACAATATAAATAGTATAATCAGGAAGATTTGAATAAGAATATTACGATAAGGGAAAATAAAATAAGAGACCATTGTAGTTCTTGTCCAAGCTGGGAGTCAGTGAAAATGATGGGCGATGCAGCTGGAAAGGTGTCTTCTCAGAAGGAAGTTCATTAAATAGTCATTAAGTCATTTTCTCATTGGCTTTCAGTTGTCAAGTAAAGGAGTTCAACTTTAACTGGATTACTTTTAGAATCCCTTGTAACTTGAAAATTCTGTAATAACAACAAACATTTATACTATTTGTTAAACACCTTTGCTAAAATTATCCAAAATTATTTTAGTTTTAAAATACTGTTAGTGTATTAGTAACAACTGAAGAAAGTGAAATGCAAAGGTGTTAAATAGCTTTGGGAAAGTTGTATAGGTAATATATGACCAATCTGAGTTCTTTTGTATTGTGTACTATTTTTATGATTACTTATATTCAAAATATTTTAAAACAGTATTTCTAGAATTACATTTAAATGCATTTTAAAAAATTTCTGACTTTATATACCATATTTCCCCATGTATAAGACGCACCTTTTTTTGAAAAATTTGGGGTCTAAAAACTGGGTGCGTCATATACAGTGGTTGTAGATTTTTTACTTGTATTTCCTGCAAGTGATGAGGAGTTGTATGAATTTTATGATGAATAAAACTTGAGTTCATGGCTGGCCAAGTGGCGCATTGGTTAAGAGCTGGCTTGGGACGCCAGAGGGCCCAGGTTTNGGAAGGCCTGAGTATGTTCCATCTACAGGAGGTGAGAGACCAATGCTATGCAGACGTGCAGAGGCACAAGCATGTATGGTGTGTTTGAGAAACTGCAGGGAAGCCATAAAAGCTCATGTAGTGTAAGAAAGGGAGAGAGTAGTCAGAGATGTATGTGATCGATAGGCAATAGAGAGCTAGTTTGTGTTCTGCCTCGTATGCAGTTGTAAAGACTTTTGCTTTTACTCTGAGATCAGAATCTGTTGCAAAGTTTTGAGCAGATGAGTAATATGATTCCTTTGGCTGCTAGATTGAGAATAGACTAACAGGAGGCAACGGGGAGAAACAAGGAGGCTAGTTAGGGAACTATTGCAACAACTCAGGAGTGGGCAGCTTGGGCTGACATGGTAGCAGTAGAGGTGGTGAGAAGTGGTTCCCAATCCAAAGGTAGAGAAAGTATTTTAAAGGTAGAACTGACAGAATTTTCTAAGTGGGTATGATATGGTAAGCCAAATAGATAAAGAGAGAATTCCCCATTTGCTGAGATGAGGAAGATTGGGGCAGGGGCAGATTTTATGAGGGAAGACTAGGATTTTGATACTGGACATATTTTTTTAGATATTCATTAAAACCCAAATAGAGATGTTAAGTAGGGTTCAGGGAAGAGGTCCAAGCTGGCGAATTGAACTTGGAAACTATGAACTGGAATAAGTATTGGTGAAAAAGAGAAGTTTGAGAACTGAGCCCTAGGATAGCCCATATTCAGATTTGTAGGGTAAAGAGGAACCAAGGAAGGAGTACCAGTGAGGTAAGAGGAACACCAAGAAAATGTGGTGTCCTGGAAATCAAATGACAGAGCATTTCAAGGAAGTGGAAACGATCAATAGTGGAAATGCTGTTAATTAGTCGAGTAAGATGAGGCCTGAGACTTGGTCATTGGATTTAGCAAGAGCGAGGTCACTGATGACCTTGAAGAGTGGTTTTGGTGTAGCGTTAGAGGCAAAGTCCTGATGGAAGATGATTTAAGAGAAAATGTGAGAAGAGGAATTAAAGGCTGCAAGTGTAGATACATGCTTTTGGGTATCACTGTTTAAGACAAGTAGAAAAATGTGGATATTGGCTAGAGGGGGAAGTGACTCATAGAGATTTTTTTTTTTAAATAACATGGGAGAAATTTCAGCATATTTATAATGCTGGCAGGAATGTTTTGGAGTGATGGAAAAAATGCTGATGCAAGAGAGTCGCTTGTGTCGCATTGCCCAGGAGAAGTGGGATCCCACACAGGACTTGGCTTCACGTCATCTGTGGTAACAGAAGTGAAGGCAGAGTGCGTGGGCCCCGGTGGAGGTGGCTGAGTAGATGCGGTAGGAGCTTGTGGTAATTCTCTTCTGATGTTTCTCATTTTTTTTGTGATGTAGTAACTGAGGGCGTTAGCTGGATGTGGGGATGGGGAAGAGGTGCTGGCTGGTGGTGGAGAGAAGGTATGCAATAGTCCCCTGGGAGAATAAAAGACTGATTGGCCTAGAGAAATGTGGTAGGAATGCCGGCCAGCTCTAAGGGCCCATGTAAAGTGTGTAGTCATAAATTCAAAGTGAGATCAGCCAGCAAGGTGGCTCGCCAGCCATTTGTACTGGTGCAGGTGCATGTGGGGAGACAACCAAGAGTTAGAATTAAATAGATGGTGTTTCCAGGCATGTACAATGAAACGAGTAAGAAGCAGGGAGTTGATATGTACACAGATGTGTATAATAATGGAGCATGCAATCAAGCAGCCTAAAAAGGGAAAGGAACGCACGAAGGTAGTGAGGGGCAGGGAAAAGGTTACCGGATCAATGAATTATAGGTCCTCGTGGGATCAAAGAATTGTTGGAGTTGGGGACCTAGAGGAAGAGAGTTGGAAAACGAGCTTGGTGCCAGAAAGCGGGGTCCTCGAAGTTGAAATTATGGAGAGATTGTACTCACTGGTAATGCCAAGNAGTGTCACTGGCCCTCATATGTGGGATCCGAACCGGGGCCCTCTGGCGTCCCAAGCCAGTTCTTAACCATCGCGCCACTCGGCCGGCCCTTGTTGGCCTTTTTAAATATTGCCTTGAATGCATTTTTCTGGGTATCTCTTCTTCTGGAGTTTTCTAGTACAGAATTCTGGTGTTGTTCCTGCCTCTTCACAAGGCAAAGCTACACATGGCTTTTCCAGCTTCTTTTCTTAGGCTTGCTGAAATTTTTTCAACCCAAGTAGGGAGAGAGGAAAATTTATCAGTGTTTCAAGTGTGTGTGTGTGTGTGTGTGTGTGTGTGACTTAGTGCGTAAGGAAAAGTACAGGCTTCAGAGTCAGATTTCAGGGCCAGTCCTTCTTAGCCATGTGAGTTTTGGGTATATTAGTTTACTTTCCTGCTGTCAGCTTCATCATTTATAAATAGGATTAATGATACCCATCTCATAGAATTGTGATTTTTACTTAAAAGAACTTCTAGCACATAAAGGGTGATCAGAAATGATAACCCTTAACTAGGGAATAGGTTTTAGTTAGTGAAGAAAATGGCTTGTTTATTTAGAAATAGTGGGCAAAATCCATCCTACCCAAGTACGGTAAGTTGCTTTATTACCCTTTGAAACCAGTACACTTTGAAAAAGCTATAAATGGGCAGTGCACATGGTAGTATTATTTTACTTGGATCCAGTGTGCTGAAATGTATTCATGAACTTTTGCTGTGTTGATGTAGGCAGTTGAGTTCGTTGCCAAATAGATTTTAGTGGTTTGGTATTCATCTTAAAACTAAAGGACTTGAAATGGTTCTCTAGCCACTAGTTCAAGTTGAAAGCATTTCAGGCAGGTTTTTACACAGAGAGAGCATAGCAGATATTTGGTTAGCTTTTATGAGAATTGCTTGCTATGATATTCTTTCCCCAGGCAATTGTACACTTTTTTCCTGTACTTCAAGTATAGTAATAAGTAGTGCCTCGTGATTATACAAGAATTCCACTGTAAGGGTCACAGAGTCCAAATGTTATGTAATTTATACTTAGAATATTTACTTATGTGTAGTTATGTGAAAAGTACTAATATGTGGTCTTACAAACAGTTTGATCTTTCCGTGGAATTGTTTTACTAGTTAGTTCTGCATTCTGTATAGTTATTTCATATGCCCATTTCCTCTAGATAAACTGATTTAAAATATCAGGAATGCTTTTTTCTTTTTTCGAAGTACTACTTATTTTTCTTAATGGAATACTACTACTATCAAAGGAAGTCTTCTGCCTTAGCTCCATCAGTTATTTTTCACTGCTTTTTCTTTAATTGAAGATAGAAAAATCTAATGATGGTGTCCATGTATTTCTATGTACTCTGTATTGCTACGGCAGTATATAAACAGAAATAGGAATAATATCTTGTTTGCATATTTAGTTGTAAGTAATGTTACTAATTGCTAGGCATATTGCACAAATGCCTTCTAATCCATATCATGGTAAAAGCTGTTAGTACTTCCCCCTCTTATATTCCTTTAAAAGTCTAGACATGTCTAAATTTTCAATTGAATTTAAGCCAAAGAAATGTGAGCACATGATGAGTCAAAATTTGAGGCATTATTGAATTCATGTTTTATTATTTTGTGGAGAATAACTTTTTCTTGTTAATTGTTATATAGAATATGAAAATGGCTATGGTTCTTTTAGGACCAATGTGCTAAGATTGTATTTGGTACACTTTTGTATACTAGCCAGTCTTTATAAACAAGGAAAATATTTGAATTTAAAATACCACCTATGAGCCAGATATACTTGCTTTCCTCTTGATACATCAATGTCCTAAAGCTTTCAGGGGAAAATGGTTTAAAAAATTGTTTTCATGTCTAGATTGTAAGTAAAAATCACTTGTCAGAGTGAGTTGCAAAATGCAGACCTTCATTCTGAAGCTGCCTGTTTCTCATTTGGATCTGACATATTAAAAAGCATATAATTAATGGTTGACATTCGTAATTAACATTAACTTTATGGTGCTTAATATGCCATCATTCATCCATCAAATAACCAGAAATGCATACTGCCTTAGCATAAAGGTTTTAATTATATAAAATGGTCCTTTAGTTTTCATATGGTATAAATGTTAAAAATCCAAAATGCATTTAAGGAAGATTTTGGTAAGCGTTTGTTGAGTGTTAGCTATATTTCTGTTTCTTTTTAGGAATATGCATCAACAATTGGGCCGGGAACTTCAAAAGGGGAACGTCGACCTCAATGTGCAGTCTTCATTATTGGCTAAAGAGCGCCACCTGGCTGCAGTCGCCGGCGCTCTGTGGAGACATTTCTTCTCCTTTTTGAAGAGTCAGAGAATGTCACAGACAGTGTCTCTCCCCCAACTCGCGGATGCAGCTGCAGGTCAGCTTTGCAATTCGTTTCTTATTTTGCAGACTCTTTTGGTTTTTTCTTCTGTTTGCTTGGGAACAGATTCTTATCTTATTACAGAGTAATAAATATTTTGACAAACAGAAAAATGAAAAGAATTATATATTTTAAAATTGGGACTCTTTGGCTTGTTTATTACTTTCCTCTCAATAAAGGTAAAAATTGGGCCC